ACAGAGTGAGACTCTGTATGTATCAAAAATGAAAAACAAACAAACAAACAAAACTAAAAAAATTTCAGCAGGGTGTAGTGGCTCACTGTAATCCTAGCATTTTGGGAGGCTGAGGCAGGGGGGCTGCTTAGGCTCAGGAGTTTGAGACCAGCCTGGGAAAGATAGTGAGACCTTGTCTCTACTAAAAATCAAAGAATTAGCCAGGTGTGGTGGCGGGTGCCTATAGTCCCAGCTACTTAGAGGCTGAGGTGGGAGGATTGCTTGAGCCCAGAAGATGGAGGCTGCAGTGAGTGATGATCATACCACTGCACTTCAGCAGGGCAACAGTGAGACCTTGTCTCAAAATAAAAATAAAAATAAAAAAGAAACACAGGCCTGTAATCAGAGGGGAGTCTGAATCTGGGCCACAGATTGGGAGGTACATGGAGAAGAGTAAAAGCCACAAGAGTCAACAGATATTCATAGCAAAGCAAGTAATAGTAATAATGGCAACTAATATTTATTGCATGTTGACACAGTGCCAGGTGCTGCACTCATCACTTTACATAGATTCACTCATATAATCCTAAGTGGTAGGAATATAACCATCTCCAGTTTACTTATGAAGAAACCCAAGCATACAGGATCTAGATAACATCTGAGGTCACGTAGCTAATAAGCAAACAGAAAGAAGAGAAACACTAACATCTAAACAGTGGTTGGAAAGAAAGGAGCCCCTGATACAGTGCAAAGAGGAAAATGCTCAGAGACTAGCTTACAGCAGGGACGGGTGGTGTCTTGGAACCGGGAAGTTTAGGAAGGACAGGCTCACAGGATCAGGTGCCACTGGGAAGTCAGATGAGAGAAAGACTGAGAAATAACCCCTGGCAATTTGGAGGTCACTGCTGACCTCAGTGAGAATGCTAACAGTGGTGAAGGAGAGCTTTGTTGGGGCAGGTTAGTAAGCCACAGAAAGCAAGGAAGTGGGGACTTGGAAAGACAACTGTTTGAGAAGGCAAGGAGACAGAGGCAAGCAAGCCAGAGAGAGATGGATGGGTGATGCCTACACTCTAATAATGAGTATGAGGCCGGGCGCAGTGGCTTACGCCTGTAATCCCAGCACTTTGGGAGGCCGAGGCGGGCAGATCATGAGGTCAAGAGATCGAAACCATCCTAGCCAACATGGTGAAACCCCGTCTCTACTAAAAATACAAAAATTAGCTGGGTATGGTGGCATGTGCCTGTAATCCCAGCTACTCAAGAGGCTGAGGCAGGAGAATCACTGAGGCTACTTGGGAGGCAGGGGTTGAAGTGAGCCAAGATCATGCCACTGCACTCCAGCCTGGTGACAGAGCAAGAATCTGTGTCAAAGAAAAAAAAAAGTGAGTGTGAAATTATCGGAACATCACTGGTTTCCACTGAGGACTTGCTCTGTCTTAGGCTCGTACATTGATGAGCTCAGTTGATTCTAAGAGGGAGGTGGCATACAACAACACTGAAGGCATGTTACTGTCACTGACTCATTCAGTTCTCACCATAAGATAGTAACAGGAATCATTACCAACTTATTTAAAAAATGAGGAAACTGAGGCACAAAGAGGTAAAATACCCTGTCCAGGCTATGCAACTAGTGACCAAGTCAGACAATGATTTCAGGTACTCTGACTTTTAACCTCTGTTCAAAAATCTCTGTAAATATTGGCATGTAAAGGAAAAAGTAAAACTTATGCAGAGAAAAGGTTATAAGAATGAAATTGTTTTGTTCACACTAAGTATAATTTCTGATGTCTATTGAAAAATTATTAAGTCAATTCATCAAATATTAATTAAGTTCCCGGAGATACAATATGAACAGACACCAGTTCACTGGAAGACACAAAGAATAAGCAAGGAACTGGAGGCTACTGAGCATCGCATGACAAGGGAGCCCCTTGATGGGGTGAGAGGCAGCACCGAAGCCAGGCTGCCTGGGTTGTGGCCTCAGACATGTTATTAAATGACCTGTGCCTCCATGTCTCCTTTAAAATTGATAATAGCATCCACCACCCTCAGCCAATGGAATGCACAGAGGGTAGGGCCAATCAGGGATGGAAACGGAGGCTTTAGGTTCAAGTCACAGGCTCTGGGGTCAGACAAACATGGCTTTGAATTCCAGCTCTACTACTCACAGGCTGTGTGATCTTGAGCGAGTTACATAACCCCAGTTTCCTCACAGGCAAGTGATGAGGGTGAAATAAGCTAATTCTCATGCAGCCGCACACAGCAGGTGCTGGATAAATGTTAGATATTGTTATTTCAGTGAAGACAGTTCTGGCTGGAGGTAGGGCAATCTCAGAGGAGTGGGAAATAAAGCCCAGATGACTTGGAGGGTTAAGAAAGCAAGATCAGGGAAGGGCGGAGAAGGGCCAAGGTCAGCAGTACTCACGTTGGTGAAGGGAGGCTTGTGATGCTGGTACTCAATCCAAGGAGGGACAGCCAAGGTGCGGTTTAGCAGCTTTGCAAATGCCAGAGAGCCCAGGAAGTGATCGGCCTGGTTCCCAAAGCGCCCTGGAAATGGTACATTGAGGGTGAGGTGAGGCCTGGGGCAGGGAGGGCATAGGGCATGCAGAGCTCAGAAAAGTTGTGGAGCCAGGGGTAGAAAGTCAGGGATACCAAGGAGAACTAGGGGAGCCGGCAGCATGAGAACAAGTCCGGACTCTTGGGTCTGATATCTTCAGGTCCTGCAACAACTGCTTCCACCACTCCAGGTTCCTTGCTGTTTCCCCAACATGCTCTATAATTCCCGCCCCCACCCCAAGCCTCTGCTCTTGTCCCTCAGCCAGAAGAGCCCTTCCACCTCTATCTCCATTCACCTGCACATGGAGTGGCAACTCGAATGCCTCATTTACTGGGCTCCTTTCACAAATCCCCTGCCATACTCCCTCTCCCTCCTCTACCTCCCATCTTGGCTCTGAGTTACTTCAGTTCAATTTTCCTCAAATATCTTTGTGGCCTTTGTACTGGCTGATTCCTCAGCCTATGAATGCCTCAGGGGCAAGAAGCCTGTGTGATTCCTTTTGTTAACCCCAACATGGCATCTGTTCATTCATTTCACAAATATGATTGAGAGGCCACAATGTGCCAGGCTCTGTGCTAGGTGCTGGGATACAGGAATGAACAAGAAGGACAAGGCCTCTGCCCCCAGGGCACTCACAGTCCACTGAGGAGACACTAAATATGTAAACAAATACATGAAAAATGTTGACAGTTGCCAGAAAGAGATGAAAAAAGTTTGGTGATGGGGTAATGAGATTACTTGGGTAGAGGTCAGTGAAGTCCTTTCTGGTGACATTTAGGTTGAGACCTGAAGGATGGGAAACAGCTGGTCAAGCAGAAATGAAACGGAGGGTTCCAGGCATAGGGACTGGCACATGCAGCAGCGCAGGCTGAAGACCTGAGCATGTGTGAGGAATGCAAAGGAGATTAAGTGTGGCTGCAGCTGGAGGATCAACAGAGAAGGGAGTTGTGGAGATGGCCAGAGGGGGCCACATCATGCAGGGCCCTGAAAGCCATGGTCAGGAGTCTAAAAGCCGCTGGGGGCCTTAAGAAGGAATGATGCTTCACTTCTACAATGATGATCCACCACACCCATTTCCACCATGCAGCTGGCATGGCCTTTAGATTCTCCTTACCCTGCTCTCTTATTTTCCCTTAGTATTTATCATCCTCTATGAAACTATGTACTTATTTTTTTTTAATGTTTATCCTTTTTTGGTTTTGCTTGTTTTGAGACAAGGTCTCATTCTGTCGCCCAAGCTGGAAGTGCAGTGGCACAATCAGAGCTCACTGCAGCCTTGAACTCCTGGGCTTAAGCAATCCTCCCACCTCAGCCTCCCAAGTAGGTGGGACTACAAGCATGTGACACCATACTCAAGTTTTTTTTTTTTTTTTAGATTGGATTTCACTACGTTGCCCAGGCTGATCTTGAAAACTCCTAGCTTCAAATGATCCTCCTGTCTCGGTCTTTCAAAGTGCTGGAATTACAGGAGTGAGCCACCCGCCTGGCCTACTTATTCTCTATTTTTTGTCTTCCCCAACTAAAGTGAAGGCTATACACGGACACGGGGAGAGCCTGTCTTATTCACTGGCATACTTCCAGCAGAGAGAACAGGGCCTGGCACAGAACAGGTGCCCCATAAATATTTGCTGAATGAATGAAGGAAACACCAGGAGCCAGCGTGGGTCAGTGACATCAAGTTCTGCCCCACTAACTCCATTTACTGGACCCTGGGCTGTCTTAGTCCTCGAGCAAGTCACGTAATCTCTCCCAGCCTCAGTTTTCTCATCTGTCAAATGGAAGGGGGTCCCTCTGTGAGACGTTGGTCCCTCTGTGTCCTTGCGACTAGGGCAGAGAGAAGAGCATGCTCTGCCCCTCTCTGAGGTTCTCTCCTGGACCCGTGAAGGTGTCTCTGGGCGCATCAGAGGAGTGGCTTGTCCTATCCTGGCCTCAGTTTCTCCATTTGAGCAGAGGGCTCGGGAGGCCTTACCCATGCAGGGGCAGTAGAGCAGGTAACCGGCCGGGTCCCAGGAGCCCGCAGGCATCCCCGGGAGCGGCAGAAGCAGCAGCAGGAGAGACACACGCAGCAGCGGTGCCCACGCGGCGGCGCCCATGTCAGCCGGGGAGCCGGAGCCAGCCGCCTCACAGAGTCGGGGAGGAAAGGAGGGACGCGAGCGTCCGCCCCGCTCCCGGCGGTCCCTGCGCGCCACCCGCGCGCCGCCCCGGCCGCTCTAGCCCGCGGGCGGGCGGGACCATAGAGATCCCGCGGCACCGCCCCCTCCACGACCCGAGCGCCCGCTCGCGCGCCTCCCACAATGCACCGCACAATGGCCCGACCGCCGCCACTACCGGGGCCTGAGCGGGCCTGGCGGAGCCCGAGCGCGGCCCGGCCCGCAGCGCGGGGCCCCGAGCGCGGTGAGTGCCAACGAGGGCCCCAGGGGACGGCGGGGAGCGGGGCGGGAGGCCGTCTTGCTACGTCCGCTAGCGCCCTGTACCCGGAGCGGCGGCGCCCCTCATCTCGGGCCCCTCAGCGCGGTCGCCCACATCCCCGACCCGGGGCCGGGTCTGCGCCAACCCGGCCCAGATAGGCCCCGGGGTGACGAAAACTCTCCCTGGACCCATACCTGTGTCTGTGGGACCCAAGGAAGCCACTGGCCCCCTCCCTTCCGAGACCTAAGGACGCAGTTCTCAGGGTCTCCCTCTCCCGACCCCCAGGCTCCCTGGAGACCCAGATAACGCGCTGCTAACCTTACCCGGGACCCGGGTCTGGGGGACGCAGATAAGCTGCACCTGCTCCCTCCCTTCGACACGCCTACCCAGACCCACATAACCCCCTTTCCTGCTCCAGATAGCCCGCTCTGTACCCTGTTTCATTTTCCAGACTTACCTAACCCCTTTTGAGGCTTCCCTTAAATATCTGGGTTGGAGAACTCGGATAAGCCTCATCGCAGTTCCCTCCTCAGTGACCATACTCCCAAGCTTTCGACATCTTCCATCCCGTTACCCATTTTGAGACCCTCTTGAAATTCAGAGGATTCACTTCTGACTATCTCCAACCCACACAGCCCTCCAGCCCTTAGAATCCCCCATCTCATTCTTGTGGGTTTCCCTTAGAGACCCAGGAAACTTGCTCATGATTCCTTCCCATCCTCATTCTTCCTTCCCATCCCGGAGACTCCCTCCAGACTTCTCCGTGAATTTCCCTTGCTTCTTCAGCCCTCATCCACTCCCATCTCTCCCAGGTCCCGGGAAATTGAAACTTTCCGACACCACAGTGGGGTGGTCCAAAATCTGGCCTGGGACCCAGGCTGTGGCCCACCTTGGTGGGGAGAAAGGGCCCTGTTAGGTGCAGGATACGGGGACAGCTGTGCAGGGGAATCGGTGCTTTCACCTGCAAGCATAGCCTGTCTCCTGGCTTGTGTGTTTTTCCACCTGTCAGCCTGGGACTGTTGTTAGTCTGGCCTTGGGTTTCTAATCTTTCCCTCCTAAGGTGAGGGGCGGGGATGTCGAATCAGGTTTTCTCCCCATGAAAATGGGGTTGTGGTGAGTTGCAGCCATTTGTTCAAGGCCTCCCCAGGAGTGGGAGGCAGCAGGAATCCGAGGAAATAGTGAATCAAAGGGACTCCAAAGAGGGCCCATCTACACTGACAGAAGAATTAGCAGCCTGAGAGTAAATCCAACCCCTGTTAATCCTGTTTGATGTTTCTTGGAATGATGCAAGTCATTGAGACTCTCCAGCCTCCCTGTAATTTAATTCTCCCACCACTCTGGAGTGGGCGACGTGGGGGAGGGGGTGCAACAGCATTCCCATTTCCCCTTTTCTCACTGTTTTCCAGCCAACCAGTGTGTCTTTAGGATTTGTTTCTGATTCTCAGACCAGGATCTGGTTTTTTTTCTTTCTTTCCTCTAAGTCTATTTATAATTTCCCAGTTGCTATTTTGGGTTCTGCTTAAGGGAAGATTCTACCCCAAGGAACGTTCCGGGTCTATTTCCTCCGGCAGGTGTTGAATTGAGTTCTTCAGATCCCCAAGTAACTCTTGGGCAGGAGGATAAAAGCTATTTTAGGGTAGTCACTGAAGTGGAGCTGTTAATCCTCTGTGGGTCTCTTTAGTTAAGAACACTCAAAGATTAACCCTTTCCTTGTTGCAGGGGTGTTATCTCTCAACAGTTTTTTAGTGGGGAGTTAGGAGAATTTGAGTGTGGCAGCAGAAGGTGGGAACTTGAAACTCAATACAAAAACAAAGATGATAGTTCTCTTTTGTTGGGTGCTTCTAGCAGGCCAAGCCCTGTGCTGAGCCCTTTGCATACCTCACTAAAATAATCCTTACAGCAAGCCTGTGAGGTAAGTATTTTTAGCTTTACAGATGAGGAAACAGGCTAACAATGGAGAAAGAACGCAGTTTCTATAGAGATGATGTAACACCATAAAACTATAGTTTCATCAGAGGGCAGCAGGCATCATAGCACATAACAGGGGATGGACAGAGTGGGGAGAAATATGTCTCAGTTTCAGGTTCCAAAGAGGACTGTACAGAGTTTTTAGCAAGCATTCCTGTTTGGGATATGGAGCCCTAATAATAGAAAAGGGTATAGGAAGGTGGCTGTCAGCACAAGAGAGAACTCTGGCCCAGGAGATGGTGCCTGGAGGGCGGTAAAGTAAGAGGCTCTTTAAAGGGGAATGTGCCGAGGGTTAGTTTTGAGGGAAAGGGGGAAGACTGCATTCTGTGGGAGATGTTGGAAAAGGAAGGAAACTCACTCTGAGGCCTGAGAAGTAACATTAAAGAGGAAAAAAAGAAGTACTACTCAGTCCATCTGTGGACAAAGAGACAGACACAGCTTAGACCTCAGAGAAGGCACTGCATGTATTTGGCACACATTTTATGTCAGCCACTTTCAAGAGTATTATTTCACTTAATGTTCTATACGAATCTTACAGGTAAGGAAAATAAATCCCTATTTTAGAAAGTGAAGAAACTGAGGTTCAGAGAAATAAAGTAACCTGCCTGTGGTTTCCCAGTCAGTAAGTGGCAGCTTTTCTGATAGCAAGTCCAATGTTCCTTCCATGCCAACTCCCCTTTCAGATCAGGTACTAGAAAGAATCTTAGGCTGAAAATATACTGAGTGATACCAGTAACTGGGAAGGATTGTGTTTGTTTTATGGAAACAGGTTCTGTCAGCTTCTCTGTAGTCATTAAGGTTAAAATGTGAGACCAGAAGAGCAGCTTTGGAAGAGAAGTAGAATTCTTTCACAGTTTTGCTGAGGAAGGACAAGTCTGAAGGAACAGGCCTTCTGATTATGTGAGACAAACCCAGGAATCTTTCTGGATTAGAGGAGTTTGCAGTCAAAGGGTGGAGAGAGAGACAGAGAGACAGACAGACAAGATCCCCAAAAGAGTTCCTAGGTAACACTAGCAGCTTTGGTTATCCAAGAGGCTGCGGGTGACTGTAGGTAGGGACTTGCCTGTGCCTTTTGAAAAGTATAGGAGAGCAGGATTGGGGTGTTGGCTCTTTTCTTTGTGAAGACATAGCCCCATTAAAAGCAGATCAAGGCAAGCACATGGCTGCTACTTTCCTCCTTTGGTTCTATCAGTACAAGCTCCTTAGCCACCACCAGCCTCTTTCCTAGAAGCCCATTACTCACCCTTTCAGTAGTAGCCTACTAAACTACTGTGTCTTGTTTGTGCTTGTTCAGGAGAACAGATGAGGTAGACGTGTGGGAGGTGGGGACGTAATGTTCTCTTTCTGAGTTTGTGTGGAGTTTCCAGGGCTAGGCTCCTCTCTCACATCAGCCAAACTGATGTGACTTGTTTCCTTCTGGCTGCTATTCCCAACTTTCAGAGGCTGAGGTGCATGATTTCTAAATGAATGGGGAGCAGAATTTGACTTTGAAGGTAGGGTAATTCCTTCCAATCTAAACATGCACACTGAGCACACTCTCTACTCAATTCCAAGGTGCATAGTAATCGCTGGCATTATAAACAGGTAATTCCACCCTTGCAAAGGAGGAGGAGACTTAAACAATGAAAGCCCAAGGTCACAGGCCTTTGAGGTTTATAGTGAAGCAGGCACATATGCCATAATGAGTCGAAGGCTTAAGTGGGACTGGTTTTTAGTGCTACCTGCCTCTCCCCAGCATGTGATTTATGCAAAATGCAGCCACCTTTATACAGATCTTTCTAGACAAATCTCCACTCGTGATGGGGACATGTTTATCATATTACATCACAGTGTTTCTTCAACAAGAGGAATGGTTCCTGAACAGGACGTAGCTCATGTTAATGATGAGCAAAGCTCTCTGGGGCATGAACCCGCTGATCCCATCATCTTGTTCACGGCCAGTCTGTTGGATGAATGGTCGCTGTAAGCAGCAGGTGCTAATGAGCTGAGTAAGCATTCTGTGGCCCACAGCTAGTTTGTGCAGTTGGAGCCCTCCCCAGATTCTCATGGATAATCCCCAGACACCCCCTTTTCTCTCTTCACATGGAAAAGCCTCATGATCAAATTTTGGCCTGATCTTGTCAAAGGGAATCCCCCGTTATAGCAGGTTGCAATGTGGTTGGTAATCTGTGGTAAGCTTGGGAGTATGAATGTGGGTCTCTTGGCCCCTTTTGAGAGTCAGTGCGGTAACTCCCATCCTCTTCCTCTGGATTGGTATCCGGAAAGGAGCTGTGTCATCTTTGCACATCCCCCCTTCTATTCAACAAGAGAAAGAATCAGACTTCAAGATTTTGGCTCCCCAGTTGGGAATAGCTGCGAACCCAGTTTAGACCAAAACTACCTGTGCGTAGGTTAGTCCCTGAAAATCAACCTGCATTCAGTGACTAGTTTACCTATCTGAAAGAAAGTTGAGATTCCTTTTCTAGATATTAGGTATATAGAGATGAAAGAGATATGATTTGAGCCCTCGAAGAATCAGGCTGTTGGAGAGGCCTAAATTCTAATGCCAGAACGTTACCTGCTTCTAATGGAGATGTGCATATATACTCTGAGGGTCTGTAGGAGGGGCTCCTCAGCACCTGGGGGTGTTGGACAGGCTTTGCGAAAGAGGGATGATCTGGGCCCTGAGACACAGAGACCCAGAGAAGTGGTAGAGGTTAGGATGAGACCAGTCCTGGTTTAAGGAAAATACTAAGAATCTGCTGTTGCCTTCTCAGACAGACCCTCCTGATGTTGATGCACTGCTAAGAAACACAACTGGTACCAGGGCTGACCATCAGGGATGTAAATTTCCTAAGTAGAGGCTTCCCTTTCCTTCTCTCTTGCCTTTTGGGCATTTTATTGCTCCTTAGCACCTCCATGAGGAGGAGAATGTGGAAAGTAGTGGACGAGGAGGTGCCAGGGTAATGAGATGGAGGAACCACTATCTCTAGGTTTGATGGAAAGGATATAAAAGTGAGGTCCAGAAGAGAAAGTTTGAAGTTTTGGGGCTTTTGGTTCCTCAGTTTATCTTGTTTCTTATTAGCCTAGATGGTACTGGTAATAGTAGCTACTACTCAGCACTTAATGGATGCCCAGCCTTCTGCTGAATGCTTTATATTAATGAGCTCATTTAATCCTTAAAACATGTTTACAATTTAGGAGATTATTATGCCCACTTTATAAATGAGGAAACAGTTCAGGGAAGTAAGTAATTGGCTGAAAGTCACACAGCTTCTAAGTGGAAGGGCTGGGATTGGAATGGGATCTGTCTGCCTCCAGAGCCCATGTTCTCATGGTATTGGGCTCCCTAACACCAGGTGTTCTGATGTTTCAGGTGAAGAGATTGTTTTCTGAAAGCTGCGTTCGAGGCTGTGACAGAGCTGAAAGCCCGTGTGGAGCGGATGGGGAGGCTTTCTGAATAACATGGCCCTTTGCCATTAGCCTTGCCATGACCACATTTTTCACCAGCGTCCCCCCCTGGATTCAAGATGCAAAGCAGCAGGAGGAAGTGGGCTGGAAACTAGTTCCCAGGCCTCGGGGCCGGGAGGCGGAGAGTCAAGTGAAGTGCCAATGTGAAATTTCGGGGACACCTTTCTCAAATGGGGAGAAGCTGAGGCCTCACAGCCTCCCCCAACCAGAGCAGAGACCATATAGCTGCCCTCAGCTGCACTGTGGCAAGGCTTTTGCCTCCAAATACAAGCTGTATAGGTAGGTGACACTCTCATATCTCTTCCTGCCCCACGGTTCCCAGAGGACAAAAGCAGAGAGACCCTGCCTAGTGTGGGTTTTTAGTCTGTGGCAGAAGAGTGGAGGTTAATTTGTCCTACAAGTATACCCTGAATGCCAAACAGTTGAAGTCACTTACTAAAAAATGATTCAGACACTAGAATCTGATGTGTTGCCTCCCAAAGTCTTGGGATTACTGGCGTAAGCCACTGCAGCCGGCCTTCTTCTTAGACCTTCTTAGAGATGGTCTGGGTGCCAATGTCAGGCAGCCTTGAGCTTTTTTTTTTTTTTTTTTTTTTTTTTTAAAAGAGATGGGAGTCTTGCTGTGTCATCCAGGCTAGAGTGCAGTGGTACAATCAGCTCACTGCAGCCTCCAATTCCAGGGCGCAGGTGATCCTCTCACCTCATCGTTCCAGGTAACTATGATTACAGGCTTGAACCACTGCACCTGGCTATGTTTCTAATTTTTGGCAGAGATGGGAGTCTGGCTGTGTTGCCCATGCTGGTCTCAAACTCCTGGGCTCAAGTGATTCTCCCACCTTGACTTCCCAAAGCAGTGAGATTACAGGCATGAGCCACTGCACTTAGCCCTGAACATTTTTTTTTTTAATACTGCTTTCCTTACCTGTGTCAGGTGATGGTCTGAATTTTAGCTAGAAGTTAAGAATCAGTATTTGAACTGGAAAAGTAGACCTTCTGGTCTAGTCTGTAAATTTTAAAGTAGAGGCTCAGAGTAGGGACATAACTTACCCAAGGTCATACAGCTTCAGAGATCCTGCAGTGCCTCTTCTACTGAATCAGCCTGCCACTTACTCAGATTAACTATGCCTGTCTCCTTGTTGCCCACTGTGCCAGCTGCTTTTCTGAAACTTGTAAGCCCAAGAACCCTTACTTAAAGTGAAATTAAACATAAAAGCCTTGACATAAGGCAGATAGAGAAGAACAGCTTTGGTTGCTTTGGTGAGGATGGGGAGGCATGGCCAAAAGCAATTTTGGGCCAGGTGTGTTGGCTCACACTTGTAATCTCAGCACCTTGAGAGGCTCAGGAGGGTAGATCACTTGAGGCCAAGAGTTAGAGACCAGCCTGACCAACATGGCAAAACCCCATTTCTACTAAAAATAAAAATTAGCTGGGCGTGGTGGTGCATGCCTGTAGTCCCAGCTACTTGGGAGGCTGTGGCAGAAGAATCACTTGAACCCAGGAGAAGGAGGCCGCAGTGAACTGAGATTGTGCCACTGCACTCCAGCCTGGGTGGCAGAGTAAGACTGTGTCTCAAAACAAAAAAAAAAAACAAGGGTAGTTTTGATTTTATCCTTTCCATTAGAGGAACCATGAACTTGCCCTTTAGAAATGAGATAGATTGGCCGGGCGCGGTGGCTCAAGCCTGTAATCCCAGCACTTTGGGAGGCCGAGGCGGGTGGATCACAAGGTCAAAAGATAGAGACCATCCTGGTCAACATGGTGAAACCCCGTCTCTACTAAAAATACAAAACATTAGCTGGGCATGGTGGCGCCTGCCTGTAATCCCAGCTACTGAGGAGGTTGAGGCAGGAGAATTGCCTGAACCCAGGAGGCGGAGGTTGCGGTGAG